TTACGCCGAGCGGTCAGCAGCAGTGGACACAGTCTTGCGCTGCCTGCGGGAGGAGAACAGGTTTCGCTGCCTGAGGGGCTGGAGGGAGGAGGTGAGTCGTACTGCCCTGCGCCCCGAACCCCACTCAACTCACTGCCCTGCGCCCCGAACCCCACTCAACTCACTGCCCTGCGCCCCGAACCCCACTCAACTCACTGCCCTGCGCCCCAGTGCCCCGAACCCCATTAACCCTGCTGTCCAGAGCCCCACTGTCCCAAACCCCCCTAACCACACTGCCCAGCCTCAGGTCAGGCGGCAGGGACCCCATCCCTCCGTGTTCGGATCAAGGAAACTTCCAGGACGCAGTTTATCGTGGGCTCCTCAGAAGTGCTCGCAAACCTCTTACAGTTTTGTTGTGCTGGGAGAGTGCGTAGGGACGGCAGCTGGGCTTTCTCCTACCCTGACGGCTCTCTGTTCTGCAGAAGTACGAGGTGATGGCGCGATGCTGTGACCAGCCCCTCCTGGCGATGGAGCGCTCGGCTACCAGTAAGTCTGGCACCCCGATCTGCTCCTGACACCCCAGACTCCCGGGGCTGCTTGTAAGAGCAGGGATGAAAACGCTGAACTCCACTCTGGTCTTACAGTCTGACCCCCATAACCCCCTTCTTCACTCGCATTCCTGTGCTTGAATTCCTGCTCCTGGCACTGCTCCTGTATCTCAAGCTCGCTGGGACCTGGGTGGCCGAGCTATAGAAATGCCTTTCTGGTGATAATGGGAGCTCTCTGCAGCCTCTGGAGGAGTTCCACACGTTTCACACCATCCCAACCCCCAGCCCAGCTGCAGGAGCTGAGCAGAAGTCTGGCCTGTCTTGGGGGCCCTGGTCACATGACCCGCTGTCTGTGTGTGTGCTTGCTCTCCACAGGCCTTTTCGGTGTGAAGCGCTATGGCGTCCATGTTAACGGGTTCACGCGCCAGGCGGACGGGCAGCTGACCATGTGGGTGGCGCGCAGGTCCCTCAGCAAGCCCACCTACCCTGGACTCCTGGACAACATGGTGCAGAGTCCTTCCTTAACTATGTCCCATCTCTAGCTTGTCCTCCTGCACTCTTTCCCTCCAGACTCCCCTCTGCTCCCAGCATGAGGACATGATGGCCCAGCAGCCCCGAGCTCAAGGGCCGGGCCAGCTGTCAGGCTCCCTTACCGCTGTCAGAGCTACCAGCAGGAGTGTGTGCCGACACCCGTTTTCTCAGGGGTGCCCTTGAACACATTTGCAATTGATAGGTATTGTTTAGAGCAGAACACAGCCCATCATGTGAACTGCAGGTTGATATTCTTGCATTTTGTTTCATTTTTAATTTAGACATTATTTAGGTGGCAAGGCAATTGCTCTCCCTGTCTGTACGGAGTTTGTGCGCTGGCTGCTCCAGTGGTGCAGGTTAACAGTGGAGAAAAGACTCAGAGCCGCTCTAGAATCTGGTTGCTTTGTTAAAGGAGGAAGAAGAGCCACAGTCAGCAGGAGACAGAAGGTCTCTCCTTGTCATTAAGTGGACTAACGAAAAGTCTGCAGTTTCTGAACAGCAGCACTAAGCGAGAAAAGGCACCTTCTATTTCAGTTCACAAAAATTCCACATTAAGGGAGTTTTACCAGCTGGAAGCAGCTTACAGGGATTTTCTGGGTAAAGGGGAAGTTCAGCCCGGCTGGAGGATGCAGTCTGACCCTGTGAGGGTGATTGTGTCCGCTGTCCACACAGGTGGCCGGAGGGGTGGCCTGTCGGACCACCATCGCAGAGACTCTGGTGAAGGAGTGCATGGAGGAGGCGTGCATCCCAGAGTGCATCGCAAAGCTGGCACGGCCCGTGAGCACTGTCAGGTGAGCGAGCCACACGCGTGAGAGACTGAGAGTCCGCTGCAGAGTACAGAGCTCTGACCAGGGTCAGTGCCTGGAGTTCAGCCTGAAGCAATAGATCCCTGCAGTACAATACCTGCTGGAGCTGACCGAAGTCTGCAGTTAGGACTTTGTCAGCTAGTTTGCTTGCTACTTCTACTCATTTTAAGCATTTTGAATGCTGCGGGCTTCCATGATCATTGCTTATTCCCTACCCAGGGGATTATTCTCTTGTACCAAAATAAAAGCAGGACTGTGATTTGAACAATATGTAGCCTGTGAATTTTTTAACTGCTCCACTTAGATCGAACAGGAATTATTGCACTGTTGCCTGTTCTGATGGTGCGTTTTCTTGCTTCCTTGTAGTGCTTGTGCTATACTCTGCTGCGTTACAGGTGTTGGCTAATGACAAGTGCTTTGTAACAATGAAGGCAGTCTTTCAATTTTGACTGAAAGTTAGACATTGCTAGAAAGAAAATTTGTCAGCCTGTTTTGGTTTCTAGGGGAAGAACCCTGCAGGGGTTGTCCTGAGTGAACTCTGCATATGCATTCCTGCTCCCAGCGTGAGCTCTGACCTCTGGCTTCTCTCTTCAGCTACACGTATGAGGACGATGAGGGGGTCTTCCCAGAGAGCCAGTTTGTGTTTGACCTAGAGGTGCCCCACGATTTCGCCCCAGAGATTGGAGATGGGGAGGTGCAGGCATTCTACCTGTGGCCCATGGACAAGGTCAGAGCTTGATTAGACCACGATCAGTCATCTGCTGCCAGAGCTGCCACAGAACAGCACAGTCCGACACGGTGTGTGTACAGCCGGCTCCCACAGCATTTGGATCAGAACCACAACCCCTAAGAGCCAGGGCTTGGTGTCAGGTTTGTGCTTGGCAGAATCAGGGCTCCTCTGGCAGACAGCAGTACCATTGTCCTTGGGGACAGGGCTGCAGGTTCGAGAGGAGAGCCGGGGACAAGATGGGGCTGGGGGTTCGAGAAGAGAGCCGGGACAGACATTCCTTGTTTACCAGGAGAAATTTAAACCTTTTTAATTTGCAATGTGAATTCTAAATAACTTTGGTCTGTTGCAGGAACAATTATGTTTTATGTTGCATGTAATACGCCTGTCCCCTAGGCAGCTGCATGATCTAGAGACTCGCATTATACCTTAACATGGGTTTAATGAATGTTGAAAACAAGATTTGCACCTTGTGTTGCAGTGATCATCATGTTCCCAATTAGTATCAGCATATGCATTAATGAAAACATGCCTGTCTCGCAGGCCCAGTAACATCATATTCTGGAGAGGACAGCATTAGGCAGGAGATGGGAAATCACAGGGGGAAGGAGGAGCTCAAGTCTCCAGCGTTAGCAGGATGTGCACTGAAACTCCTCTCTCACACCTACAGGTGAAGGAGGTGCTGGTCAGTGCAGAGTTCAAGCCCAACAGCGCCATGGTTGTACTGGACTTCCTGCTACGCCACTCCTACTTGCACCCCGACACTGGTATGTATACAGTCAGCTCCTGTACGAGTGCACAAAGCAAACAAAGCGAAATTGGGAAATACCCTTCATGCTGTTTGAGTTATCTTAGGTTTCAGGTGCAGCTTGATGTTCTAGAAACTGGAAAAGGTTTTAGGCTGTTCTGTATTGGAAGATACTGTAAGGGGAGCAAGTTACTGGATTTTAATGCAAAAGGGGCAAGAATGGACAAGACTAATTCACAAGGGTTGAAGATTTTTCCAGTAAATTTTCAACCTGAAACTCAAAAACATTTGATTTATTCATAAATGAAAATCAGAGGAGGCGTGAAGAGATGGGGGGAACACGTGGCCCTGAAGGCATGGAGTTACACGTGTGTGGCTCTCTGTTTCAGAGCCTTACTATCAGGAGCTTGTGGTGGGGCTGCACCGGCCACTGGGACCCTGACTGGCAGAAGGCTGCGCCCAGGAACCCCCCCCCCGCGAGCTGGAACCAGCTGCCTGCTGTCCGTTCCCTCTGCAGATGAGGAAACTTGAGAGCCAGGGTCTCTCAGCTACGGGCAGGGAAAGTGGAGTGTTACTGTCGGAGCTCGTTTGTTTTGAGCCGTATAGCTCTGTAGCTTCACTCCAGTGCTGATCCTTTAATTTGATAAAATACCCTTGTTTCCACACTGCTGGCTGCTAGTGGCTTTCACTGTATGGGCTCAAAACTGCAAACCTCTAGTGATGTCTTTGTTAACAGTGGCACCCGACATGAGAAACTCTCCCCCCCCCCCCCAAAGGTACAGATCTCTTCTCTTAGAGCTGCCTATGCTGTAACTTTATAGGATACCCTTCATCCAAACAACTGAAACTCCCATCCAGGTGAAGCTGCTTTTGCTTCAAGCCACAAAGCCATTTTGTCAGTCTAAGCTGTAGCCCTAACTGCTCAGTGTGTACCTGAATGAATTCATAAAACAAGGGAAGGGAAATACTTCATCTGTTCCCAGATTAGTGTGACAAAAGACGAAACTGCCCCATGCACTCCAGCACCTTTAATCAATTTGTGAAAGACGCTGCATCTCTGCACAGTGCGCCAGCACTTCTCCCACCTCAGCTGAGCTTCACTGGGAGGACAATGTGTGCCTGTGGGCAGCAGCCCACCCCTGGCACAGCCCTCCTGGGGGCACATAAAAACAGGTGTCCTTGAGGCTCTAGGGGTTGTCCGCTGATCCACTCAAAGCCAGTACTTATGCCAGTTTGTATTGCAGTGTAGGGGCCGATTTTCTCAACAGCTGCACCAGTGACAAGACAGACCAACACTCAAGTCCATATCTTCTGAAGGTGGCGTGAAACAGGAGTGTGGACGACGGCCAGCGGCCCCTCCTGGTCCCTGCTGGGCTGAAAGCTCAGTCTCTCATGGTCCTATCTCCCTGTCACTCCACCTGGATGTTTCGGGCGAGCATGCTCCTCTTCACCCCTCCCTGCAGCATCCGGGCGCCCAGGCTGTTCCCCGCCACCCCATCGCTGAGAGAGAGAAGAGGGAGACATTCTGGTTTTGTTTACTCTTACTGACAAGCACAATGGAGCTCTGCTGTTCACCTTTGGGTCCTGCTAGCTAGTGACTGGCAATGATTTAAAACATGAATGAGATGGGACAGGAGCACAGCCATAAACTGACAACACAGGCAGCACAGAACAGGCTCTTTTTTTGGTTTCCTGGACAGGAGCAATGCTTTGAATGTTTTTCTTTACAGTTTTAAACTGGACTCTAACATAGATCAGTACTGCAGGTGTGGCAGTGGGTGATGTAGAAGGTATTAACGCCACACGACCCTTGAACTCGGGACTGCAGTCATGAAACGCCTGCCTTACATGGAGCTGTACTTTCTCTTCTTGGTATCGGACTGTTCTGGGAACCCGATCTTCTCCCTCCGCTCTGCTGCTCGATCTCTGTATCTCAGCTGAGAATAAAGGAAAAACACTTGCAGATCCACATTTTAATGAGCACCGAGAGCTTCAGGCATTGACATGTTCGCTATTCGGATTTTCTTGTCTCTTTCCTCTCCTTCAAGAGTGCAACTGCAAGACACGCAGTTGGGAACAAAGGGGTCGTTTTATTCCAAATCGCAGAATGTGCACAAACTAATCAAAATGAAACATAACAAAATGACTGCATATTTCACTACAACACAAACAATATCACATGCTATTGTGCTTGTTCCTGTAAGGACAACTTATCTGTGAAGCAGGCTGCTTTTCACCAGTGTGTGTCTAACGGCAAACTCACAAACACCAACCTCTCCTTCTCGGTCTGCTCCCTCCTGGTCAGTCATGCGGGCTTTCCTCTGATCCAGGTTTTGCTGAAACAGAAATTGGTCAGAAGACATGAAGGAAACTAGCGCAGAGACTCAGCGCTGTATCCTCTGTAGCAGGATCATTCTCCATCATGCGGCTGGACCGGTCCATCGGGAGTGGGCTGTGCTGCAGTGGTGGGACAGGTGGACCGGCGGTCCTACTCCTCACCTTGTGCAGTTCGGACAGCTGCTGGTGCCGGAGCAGCGCCTCCTTGCTGGGGAACTGTCTCCTGCAGAGCAGGCAGGCCAGCTTGGTCCAGTCGGTCAGCCGCTCCTCGCGATCCGCCCCCTTCTCCCCCTCCTCCTCGCTGTCGCTCTCCCCGCTGTAGGCAGCCACCAGGCCCTGCGGGGGGCTGCTCTTCTGCAGCACAGGGGAACCGAGAAAAGGACGCTGATAGCGCTCACGCAGCCCAGAACACCCAGGCAGCAGCAGCTCTGCGAGCCTGAAGCCTTATTTCATCAGATCTCGGCAAGGTTGGGCAGGGTGTGCTCAAGCACATTCATGCGTTTGCTTTCAAACAGCAGCTGCAGCTTAATTAAGTTGCCGATTTGTTTTTTCTGCTCCCCGTGAGGTCAGGGGTACGAACAATCATGGGTGGACAGTCCTCAGACAGGGCAAGACCGCCCCCTGTTAGAGAACACAGGAGTACTCACCCCTCTTTCCTCACTGCGTTTCAGCTGATCCATCAACGTCTGGGGGCGTTCCGACAGCGTCCCCTGAAAGAGGAAGCCAGAGCCAGTGCTCTAGATGTAGCAGTTAAGAAATAATTTGTCCTTTTGAGGACTAGCTCTGTGCTCTGTGCCCAGTTGAACTCCACTGACCCGCAGGGCCTCAAACACAGACCCACAGCTCAAGCCCCATCCCTCCAAGCCCGTGTCTCCAGCAGGAGCGTACCTTCTTCTCTAGGATGGCGTAGCCAGCGTCCGCACTGGCCGACTCCCGCCTCTCGTCCTCCCGGGAGGAGCTCAGGGGCATCAGCGTGGAGCGGAAGTTCTCCTTCTGTTTGTTCAGGCTCTTGGCCCAGCGCTCCATGTCCTTGGCGATCTGTGGAGGAGGAGAGAGGTGTCTGTGAGCAGAGGGCCGGGAATCTGTTCCTACACTTCCCTGCAGCCTCCTGGACCCAGTTCCTGTGAGGCTTCACTCGTTCATCGCTTGCAGACCGAACGTACAGAAACAGGTCGCCGTCCAGCTGTGAGAGTGGCCATGGTCAAGCCGGGCAGCCATGGATCTACACGTGCCCAGTTACAAAAATTGGCTTCAACATCAATATCCACACTAAGACAGACGGCTATTCTCTGGAGTTCCGTTCTGAAAAATAATTACACATAACAGAAACACCTCTGTACCATAAAATAAACTGATAAAATATTTGGTTGTGAAAGGACCAGACAGAAATGGCGACACAGGGCCCGATGTTACCTGATGTCCCTCACTGATTTCTGTACTGCAGCCTCCCGTTCATTTGACTTTAGTTTCAATAAAGCAGAATAATGTTCAAATGGGCATATATAATAAATTAAGATTCACATGTGATGCAGAAGAAACACTTCAATACTCTCGGCCATGGTGCATTTGCAGAGAGTAAGAATATAGTGTAGCACAGCAGGAGCACACATCTCAACTCTGCAGACCTTTCTTCCAGTTCATCATCAACTATTCTAAGGATATTCTAAGGATTTCTGATTAAGAAATGAAAGTTCAGGCTATAAGAAGCTCCGGAGTGGCTGTTCCTCCCTTCACAGCTGCTCCTGCTGGGCAGGTACCTGCTGGGCAGTCTTGGTCTTGGGTTTGTCCTTCTTCTCCTTGGTGGACGCATTACAGGCAGCAGTCTGTGTGGGCACAGTGGCGCTGGACGCGGCTGCAGGCTGGGCCTCAGAGCCCTGCTGGGCAGCAGGGATGTAGGTGCGGCGCTCACCATCCCAGTACATGTACTGCTGAGTGTGGGCATTGAAGTAATACTGCAGTGGAACAAGGACAGCAGAGACCCCAGTTATACTGCAGAGGAACAAGAACAGCAGAGACCCTAGTTCTACTGCAGAGGAACAAGGACAGCAGAGACCCTAGTTCTACTGCAGAGGAACAAGGACAGCAGAGACCCTCAGTTTAAGCTATTCATCCCTGGTACGGCCTAGAGCGGCACTCGTTAAATTCTGGCTTATGGTTTTATTAAAGCCGAGTCCTAATTGACTTTGCAAAAGTAAAGATGGGCAAATTAACAACTTTTTAAATAAACAAGAAGCAATGTTATAAAATATACCAAGTTCACTTTCAGCTTTGAGGAGGCAACCTTTAGGTCAATTAAGGGTTCAAAAGGGCCAGGAGTCAGATCAATAACCAGAAGACCCTGGGAATCGGAAGGCTGGTCAGTCTGTTCAGTGCCTTTGTCAGTTTTTAATGTAATTCTTCTGGAGAGCAACACATAGCCGTACTTCAAACAAACTCCTAAAAGTTTGAGGACATTGGTGCACCTGGGAGTTGGGGTCATAGTAGAGACCAGTCAGGGGGTCGTAGTAATAGCCTGAAGTCTCGTCGTACTGGTAGGTAGACACATCTGGAACAGCTGGAATGAGAAAGATGCCCCATTGCTTGCGTGCACAGATTTATTTTCTGAGGTCCCTGATTGAATTAATAATTTACTGGAATCATGCAAGACCACTGAATGAATGACGTGTATGAAGTTCTGAATACAAAAGCTCATGAAGCACAATATCTGAGCATCTCTCAAAATGAGCACCATTCTTTATCCTTTTAAAATCCCTAGTGGCAGGAAATTAAAAACTGCAATAAGGACACGCATCCTGCAGTAAGACAGGAGAGACACCTTTCAGCTGCCTCACAAAAGCATGGCCTACTGTTTTTCACAAGGTATCCCCTATCGGTAGCCTCCCAACCGGACAGGGAACAGGCCCTCTGGGGGGGGGGGTACTCACGGTACTGCTGGTACTCGAGGGGAGTGCCAGGGGTGGCAGGCTGGCTGCTGGCGGCTGGCTGGGGTTTGCCGATGATCTCTGTCTTGTGAGCTGTGGCTGGCTGGGTGTACTGGACAGCCTGGGAGAGTCACCGACAGAACCTCTCATACATACAGAATCAAATCTTGAAAACCCCAATCAAACAGACACCCTTCTTCTCCCGACACAGAGACAGAGTGGCAGATTTCCAGCGAGCGCTGTGGCCAGAGCTGCCCTGCCTCTGCGGCCTGCGGGGCCAGGCAGACGCACCAGCCTCAGTTGCACGAGAGCCGGGCCTGTCCTCTATTACACCCCTGCGACACGGCTTCCTGCCGCAACACCGACTTGACACCGGAGCATTCTGGCCTGTAGCAACACATTGTATTTCCCTCTGGAACCTGTCCAGGGCAAACCCCCTTGCCAGATGGGGTCTGGCTTCCCCACAGCCCTGAACCAGGCAAGGGGACTAGAAAAAGGAATGGAAACATTATCCCACTGCAATGTCCTAATACTGTTTATAGCACAGAGCAAGTATTTTATAGTCTCTTGCAAGCCTTTGCGTAAATGACAGAGAGCCAGTCCTGCGTGGGTACCTGGGCCGACTGTGTGCTGGCTTCTGTGGTCACCATGGGCGTCTGAGCTGCTGTTGTCTGGGGCAGCTGTACAGGATCCACACCAGGCACCTCTGGCTCTGAAGAGACTGTCGCTGCTGTCTCAGAGGGACAGAAAACACATTCAAATATTAAATTCAGCAAAAGTAATGTAAAAGGAGTTGCAGTCACGCATAAATATATACAGGTACATGCTGTGGCACAGCACATCACAGCACATGGTCACATCCTCTGTGCAGCCCATCAGTCCAGACATCATCGATCTAGTCTGGGCTCTGTCACTGGCAAGCAGACAGCAGGATTCCTCAGACAGGCTCAGGTTGGCCACAGTGCCTTTGAGCTGTAGTGCAACAGCAGGCTTGCCATCTGCTGAGCACCCGTGAGCTTGCAGGGCTCTCAGAAAGAGCTACACAGCACCAGTCTGAGGAGTGACAGGTCCCCTCTCTGACAAGGCTCTGTGGGACACACAGGAAGTGAAAATGGCTCTTTCTCTATCAGCGCAAGGCTGCACCTACTTTGTGGTCACTGTGGTGGTACATGAGGTGCAGCAGTCAGCTAAGTGAATGGAAAAGTGCCAATTTATCCTTCAATGTGCTGGCAAGGATGCGCTCCGAACCCCAGATGCACTGGAAAGAAAGGTTTCTTTCCGTTTCCCACTAGTGTACATATTTGCCGGTACTGACCTTGAGTTGTGGCCACGTATGACCCTATCAGCCCAGCGCCCGCAGCAGTGCCGCTCCCATGTGGATTGCTCTGCGTCTCGTAAGCTTGTGAATACTCCTGCGTCTCCCCATACAGTGCCCCCTGCTGGTACAGGCTGTAATCGGCACTCTGGGCACCTGCTGCTGCCGTCTGAGCTGTCTGCAAGAGAATCAACCACATCAGTGACCTCAGCAGCACATCTGTGCTGCTCAAAACGACACATCCTGCACGAGAAGATGCAGAATCTGAACACAATGGAAATGTGGAAAACGTGTCTGAAAGATGATGTGCTTTACGCAGAGTTGGGGAAGACTGAAAGGAAACATTCTGGGGTCCTTCAACAAATCTGAATGAAATGTAGAATCTATAAGCTACTAGCAAACCAGTCTCTTCTCTTCGAGTGAATGTTAGTGGTAGTTTTATGGTCTTTCTCCAAGGATGGCCAGTGCCAGAAACAATCAGCAAGGCTGACTGAGTGACCCCACTGAGCAGCTGCATTTCCTGAGTGACCCCCCCGCTGTACAGCTGTAGTTACCTGAGTTACAGCCCACTGAGCAGCTGCAATGGCTGTACTGGCCACTGTGGCAGCACTGACCCGGCTGTTGTCTGTGAGAAAAACGTCGCTGGAAGAGAGAGAGAGAGAGCGACTGTCACACAGGGGCTTCAGTCACACTCAACACCAGCCTGAGTCCAATGTCCTCCCCTCATCGGTCCCACAAGCCTCTCCATGGGGTCAAGTTGGCTCCAAGGTGGAGCACCGTACCGCTTGGAGCCCTTGGCGAACTCAACGGCGATGCTCTTCCCATCGATGTTGAGGGGCGGCTGGAGAGCCTGCAGGATCTGCAGCAGCTGAGATGCCTCCTGTGAACAACATGACACAGCAGTAAAGACAGGCTCTCCAGGCTACTACTAAACAGAACTGTAGATGCAACTACAGATAACACGTTAATAACAGTAAAGGTAAATATACAGAACACATAAATATTCATTTATTTAAAAAAACAGTAGGAAGGAAAGAAGGAGAAACAACAAAGAGGAAAACGAAGTGGTGCTACTCTACAGACAGGCGACGATTCGCACTCTGAGGACCTGAGGTTCATAGAAAAACATCTTTCCCTCCACAGGAATGCCTGAAGCATGACGTGACCACCGCAGGAAACAAACCATACAGCACAGACACGACCACATTCACCGCCAGGGAACACCGACAGGGATATGTGCATAGTTTCACATGCTCTCACTGCACATACCAAGAAACGAACACTCATATGTAAAATGTGTTAATCAAACTATCGTAAAAAAAGAGTGAGCGTGTTGCACTTGGATCGTGCCAGTACAACACCCGGTTCTACAAACGTGTATGAATCTATCTGGATAAAAGCCTTTTGTTTACAAAAGTACAGTATAGGAGCTATAGCTGCCTTCTGTATCTCAAGCTCTGCTTGTGCGACACAGAAGACTGTAAAAATGGGATCGACGCAGTGAAGTCCAAAATAACAAGTACTTCCTTTTGGAAAAAAAAATAAAACTGCCATTAAGGGGACTTAAAAGCATGCAAGTTAACAATTCTGGAAGTGTCTTCACACCACAGTTCACAACTTGCCAGACTTCCCGTTTACAAATATTATTTGGAGACGGATTTGAACTTTGAACAGTAAGATAGCATACTGCTTGGCTTTCGTCCAATATACACTTGCGTGGGATTTTTCCTTAGTTGTCCTATAGTAAAATTTTCATTCAGTAGAGACTAGCTTTATGACAATAAAAAATACCTGATTTTGAAGGACATTTTCTTATTTTATGACACAGTAATATTGTTGCTTAATGTAGTCACTATTACAAAACAAACAAATGCAAGAATAATATTTGATTCCTGCAGAATGTGGGAAATATTACTGCACACACAGTTCTGTAAAGGACCGATACACTCCTGTGTGAAGAAAACAGTCCTACACAGCACACGATTCTCAGTCATTATACGGTCCTGTAGTCAACAGATGCAAAATTAAAACATCCAGATTTTTATGTAAAATCTAAAACATTTTAAAAGGAAATAAACCACAATACTCTCAATGCCTCCCCTTATGCAAATTCCAAATGCTGATCTCACATGCTCACACCCTCGCACTCACACTCACAAGCGTGCACACACTCACACCCTCGTACGCTCACACCCACGCACGCCCTCGCACGCACGCTCACACACACACCCACCACTCCTGGCCAGAAGCAGAGGCGGCAGGTCTCACCACAATGGTGGAGAGCTGCAGGAAGGCGAAGCCACGATTGAGCTGTGTCTGCTTGTCCTTGATGAGCCGCACGTTGGAGGGCGAGAGAGTGGCGAAGGGTGAGAGTGCTGTCAGGATGGACTCCAGCGTGGTGTGAGGGCCCAGGTTACGCAGAATCAGAGCTGCACACAAACACAGGGACAAGCTGGCTGTCAGGCCTATGGAGGGGTTTTACAGACAACACCACACAACTATCTGTTGGAAGATGGCACAGTGGGCTGGTGTCCTGCGCTGAACAGGCGTCACATCTGGGCCTTCCTGGATAGGCTCCCAGTTGCAGGTATTAACAGTAATACCTGCCTTCAGATGTGTGTACATTACTGATCTGCTGAACAGACAGCCCTATCAAGGCAGGCTTATGATACATAAAAATCGGTTCAGACATCGGGCAGGGAGGCTCACACATACACTGATCACACTGGAGCACACACAACCCGGGTGACAGTAGTTTGAAGTGGGAGGACGCTGCTGCGATACTCACTATCATTGGCTACTTCTCCGCTCTGAGCAGGCACCCCAGCAATGGGCAGGACAGGGGCCGCAGGGGCATACAGGGTGGGCAGGGGCAGTAAGCCCTGGGAGGACTCCTTCAGATGGCCCAGGGGCACGTCTTTGCGGACCAGGGGCAGCTTCAGCTCTGCTTCTGCGGATTGAAGGCAAGAGCGGAAAGAGAAACGCATCAGTCAAAGAGCAGCACATCCCATCGGCGCTCTCCTGCTGTTCCGCTTGCAGCCTGCCCTTTCCCATGGATCTTGCCCTCTTGCCCACTCCTCAACGCACCCGACTTCGGCACGCCGCACTTGAAGCACTTCTCTCGCCGCTTGAAGTTCTGCACGCCACACTGCAGAGAGACGGAAACACACGACAGTCAAGCACCTCCATCACCACACTGACTGCCACACCGTGGGAAGGCCCAGTGGACAGGGTGGCACGTAGGCGCCTCTCAGTTCAATTACTCTAACAGCAGTGAAGCATCAAGACAATGGAGGAGCTGAAACGAGCCATCGCAGATACTTGTTGCCATGGCCACAATCCACATCACAGCAGAGATCAGCTTTGAAGAACAGGGTTCAAAAGCCTACATTTCAAATTCCTTTTAAAAATTGTGAAGTTGAAAAGGTCTCCGTGCACAAAATATTCTGACATCTAAATACACAGGGTAGGCCAGTCTGGACATCCCAACACACACTGTAGCCTGTAGACTGTCACTGACATTGTTTTTGCCATTTAACTCAGTGCTTTGACAGATTTAAAACGTGAGCTAAAGTTATAGGACACATGCAGAAAAAAAATCTTGATTTTCAAAAGTTGAAAAGACAGTTCCATTAACCGTAATAACATTCGAGATACCACTGGCCTTGTGAAGTGAGCGAAAAGCAAAGCAAGACTGCCCTGTACCTTGTTGCAGAGCCAGTCTTCATTCGCCCTGGGCTTGGGATCGCTGTAGTGCATCGAGACCCTCTGGCCCAGGATCGTGAGCACCCTCTGCAAAGCCAAACACACAGAGAATGAGGCAGGGCAGGGGAGGGCAGCCGGGCGCACGCACAGACAAGAGAGAGAGACAGACTGAGAGAAAGAGAGATGTAACCTTCAGCTTCAGGGACGGGAAAAACAACAGCCCGTTTGCCATGGAAATCATGAGTGTGGTTGTATGGGACCAGGGGCCTGAACCCCCCCCTTCTAGGGGAAAAATCTGGAGAAGACTAACCCTGCCCCCCCTTTCCTTGAACAGGACGGGCAGCGAACTGCTCCTACTGCCCCCAAATCCCACGCATTTGTGGAAGAAGGGGCTTGTGCTGAACCTGACACCGCACGCATGGAGAAGGTGTGGACCAGCACTGGGCAGCAAGAGTTGCTCTCCTAGACAGGCACCCCACAGTAAGACTGTGCACCTCGAGAGCAACAACATACTCTGCTGCGATTATAATCCCTACAGCTAAGACATGCACAACACCTCATTCCTACACATCCATGAAGCCGCAGTTTCTGAACTAGAAATGTTCTCTCCCCATGTCAATCAATACAGAACCAACTGGTTTCACCTGGTTACTGCTCTGTCTTAGGAAGCTACCCTACAATTTGAGGGAATATAAGAGCACATTTCACCCAGCAAAGGACCTGTTCAACCAAAAACTATCCATACACCTTGAGCACCTCAGCAGCAAGGAAACACAATCCATTTGAGCTGTTCTGCTACTCCTATGACTCCTCCTCACTGAGGATGTGAAATTCACGAGAGGGCTTTTTTGAAAAAGATGTTTCTATGTTTTTCAGCCTGCAGGAGCTCCAAGTTTAAGTGACTCCCTGGATAAAGTCACAATTCCACCGATGTCATGCTGTTTTCTCCCATCTGACCGAACACTAACGTCGCCAGGCTATCATGCAGCCTTGCTGCCTATCCAGCCCCCAGCCACACACCCCTTTCAAAACTTGACAGAGATTCCTGACCAACGAGTCCGGCTTGCAGAACCCTCCACACAGGCCACACTCATCATCAACCCTTCCGCACTCCTGGGTCTCCTCATTTCCTATCTATTAATGGTTTACATTTATTATTAGGTTTGTTATCAGATTATATTATATTATATTAACCAGTTAATCAACTCTTTGATCTATCACATTAAAAGATGTGGCTCCACAACTTGCTCTTCAGGGACCCTGAGAACAGGCTTTCACCAGTGCTGCTGGCATTGACAACACTGCCTCCCAGCCAGCATCCACACATCGGTTTCAAAATACAAACTACCTGCTCCGAGTCAGCATCTGCACTTCTTAAAAAATGTCAAGCCAGGTTTTTATACAGTTAGATCACACACAAAAATGGCTCTCAGCTGTTTCTGTATCCCAGTTGCTCCAGCAACACTGTCAGCCGGGCATCAAAAACCCAGTGAGGATGTTGGCGTTAAAGCAAGACCAAGGCTCAGTTTGAACCAAATCCTCTGCCCACCAGCTGGCCGCACCGCCCAGACCCAGAACTGGACGGCAATTTCCAGGACAACGGTACTAGAGGCCCTTCCCAAGTGGACAGGTTTGTGAGTGGCCGGTGGGTACATGCTTGCCTTATCCAATTGGAACAGGTGATGAAACAGCTGTAATAGTAACCATGCTGTTAAGGAAGACACAGGAGAAGAGCTAGATGGGGAAATGAGGTGAGCCATGCGAGGCGAGAGTTCTGCAAGGACACTACACACCACAAACGGACACTAAGCACCCCGCCACCTCGCTGCAGCACAAGCAGGAGCACCAATGTGCTGAAAGGATGTCTAACGCACAGACTGGTCTAGGAGAGGACCCCCGAGGTGTCCAGACTGCAGAGCACCCAGAGAGCAGGACTGAGAGCTGGGCACGTGGATCCCTCCAACAATCTCCACACAGCCACTCAGAGGCATTACACACACCATCAGGCACCATTTCAAGACTTGACTGTTGCACCCACAAGCCTTTCTCAGTACTTTTGTCATTCTGTGGCTGGTAAACTGCCTATACAAATTTACACATTCAGCTTCTTTGCTCTGATCAATAACTCAGATCTTGGCAGTTACCTGCACATTGTTTATTTTTCTCTGGTGTTAGTAAAAAAGAATAGTCTCTGATGAAGTGTCATTTGTGTGCATTTATGTCTTTTTAAATGGAGAACAATATCAAGCAACATCCGTCTCACAGTGTTGTCAAAAATCCATTTAGTCTCAAAGTTTTATTGCCATCCCATGACTAGAACTGGTAGCAGCTAAATTCAAGAACACTATTAAGAAACATTTTCTGAATGACCAAACTTAAAAAAGGTGAAATCAAACTATATCCGAATTGATTAAACCAAAGTACAACCTACCAAAGGGATACAGCAGGAGTCCCTGTCGTCCACAGTCATAATCTTTTATTATGCTAAATTAATCTTAGTTAAAAAGTAGTATGCAATTTGAGTTGCTAAACAGCAAATATTCACATGGAAGACTGTGAGGGACTCAGTGCTTCTCATCAAAGCTATTTCCACTTTTTTCTCAGAATTTTACTTGTAAGAAGAATCCTATGTGTTGAAGGTTATAATGGATTTAAAAAAAAACACAATCCTTTACTGCCCCAACATAACTGAACACCCAAGGCATCAGCATCTGCTGAATGGGACTGACCAGATGCCTTCAGGAGGAGGCTGCAGTGCTGTGTGAAGTGCTGACTGAACTACAGGGGATGAGGTGTCTGGAAGGGGAACAGTTTAGTGCTAATCTGGACAGTGCCATGCTGTAGAACAAGGAAGTAATTGTTGGACGTTTTAAATTATTAAAACATATTACAGAAAAAATGCAGCCACCCAAGTTGGAACAGGGTTCCACACATTTGAAACAAAGCATATTCTAACCTGATCAGGAAGAATTATGCCTCGCAGTTTTATATATATATAAAAAAGAATAAATACAGTTTTGGATACATTTAGCATTTTCCATCATGTTCACAGTTCTGTGGAATGCTTTCAGATGGATGAAGTATGTTGGTATCTTGATTTTCTCTGAAACCCTGCAAGATATCTAGACGGATACAGTATTTATTTTGGGTCTATCAAAAGCTTTGGGTTCACAATATTTTTTTATTCTCACTGACAAGAAACAGATTAATGCAAGATAAACTGCTTTTGTTCCATTCACAGTAATTCTTTTGGTGACAGTAATGCACAAGTGAAGGGGAGGCGATTTCCTGCCATGCGTAACTCCTTATCGCCATTGGCAGGTGAATCAGACCCTCCTCCTCGTCACTGTTTCGTCCAACACGCTCAAGGAATCTGCTGCACTTGCACCCCCTCAGTACAACAAGCAGCAGCACAAACACAAAGCTCATACGAACCAACCAACAACCACCTGCTACTGTCACACAGTGCAAAACGGACAGACCCTCAACTGCAGGCGTATATGCAGGTTGGTCTGTAAATAAATACTGATAAACTGTTGTTCTCCAATCTCATTTACAATCCTTGCTCCTCTAGTGGCCTACCTTGTGATAGAGAGTGACAGATGGGGCTGGTAATATAGGAGTAAATTACCAAGTGAAAATTCACAAATGACAACATATGTAAGTTTTGAAAGACTCTGGAGTGGCTGTGGATGATGGGAAAAAAACGCCCCAAATCACCATCCTATTCTAATGCTGCAGGATGCCACAGGATAGTCACTACTTTGCTGTCCCAGAACCAGCTCCATCTACCAACAAATCTGACCCTGCATGTCCGAGGAGCTTGACTCCCAGGAAAAGAGAAAGGTGGTTGGGGTAAAAGAGGTCGCACAACAGATTACTAAATTCTAAGGATCTGGAAAACATCCCCATCGGCTAAAAACATGAACATGAACACGGGCAGGCAGGGACCAGGCTTATCCTTAAACACTCATTTCTGTGGCATTCAATGGGAACGTTCCTTTCTTTCCCCATCATCATCATCATAAGAGCGGTAATGATAAATGTGATCAGTGATCAAATGAAAACTGTTTTTTACATTAATTTGATTTTTCAGTTTAAGTTAAAATAGTTTAGAGAAAGGGTGCACCTGCCGGTTAGTTCAAAGAGGACAATGCCTGATCCACACCACTGCTTTCCCTTTCTGCACAAGCTATGGAGCAGTGCTGCCCTGGACCTGTATACTGTATCTGCCCGCAGGCTGGAGAGCTGTGTTCTGTATTGACGACTGACAGCAAACAGAGCAACCTGTGATGCAGCAGCTCCAGTGAGTGTCAGCAACAGGCCGGAGTCAACAACAGCATGAAGACCCCAAAAAGTTTAAATAACCTGGAGAAACATAAGTACGACTGTAAGGTTCTCTAAATGGCACTCAAACAGCGTGCACGCACCAGCTACAGCGAGACTCTGCACACCTGTTTCTACACTCACAGCAGTCAAGTGTGCTTCCCATTCTGGCATGGAAGAAGCCAAAAATCACCTGTACTACAGTGCATCTCGACCCCAGCAAGGCCTTCCGTACAGGAATCAAGTTCACCCAAATGACTTACTCAAGAACATCAAGGAAACTAGACGCAGGAGGATTAAGTGCCAATGTTTTACAATGGAAAGAAATAAATTTGTTCTGAAAGTGCTTTGCTTCAGAATAGTTTTGGATGTTTAAACAAACTACATAATCAGCATCCGAGGTTTCAGAGATCCCTGAAGAAGTCAACAGATCAAAAACATATGAGGAATCCTAAGGTGCAAAGACAATCTAGTGGCCTCCTCTTCTCTCCAACCCAGTAATAACTGTTCCAAGACATTTCCAAGGACGCAAAACCTTTTTCTCCATTACTGATACCTCTAAGTACAGAGCAGCCCCCGGACCCTGGGGTTTACACACAGCGCAGCGGAGGTGTGGTGCTGGAGTGTAGCTGTGCATGAGGTGTGACAGCTGGACAGCAGCGCCCAGAACCTCGCCCCCTGCCCCCCCGTGTGGCCCAGGCATTGCCCTGCCCAGCGGCACCCCCCCCAGGTCTGTTATGTTGTCTGGGCTCAGCGTGAGCAGGAGGGGTACTTGTAGTGAGCAGTGAGAAGCGACCTGATTGGTCTCCATCCATCGCGCAGCGTCCTGCAAGTGATTAAACTCGACGAAGGCGAATCCTCGGCTCTGACCTGGAGATACAGCATTCAGATACAGATACGCAGTGTGTTAGTGTCAGAGCCAATGCTGCCCTGCCCTGTCCGCACTCACTCTCGCCCTAGCCCAGGCAGACAGGCACGCAGAACACACACGGGCACAGGCATCCACAGGAGAAGCTGCCCTCCCCACCTGCCACAGGGCACCCAGGGAACAACTACAGGCAGAATGGCACTTAAAACAACACAGCTTGGGCCGCTAAATCTGGAAGCTCTCTTCAGAAACTGAGATGGGCACCTGAGTCTGTGTGTACTATATTATTTCATTTTCTCACTTCTTCTGCTGTATGTTATTCTTCTTCATTATCTGCGCTACCACATGCCTTCTCTGGCAGACAATTTCGCTCTGATCAGCACAGCGCTGTGCTGCAGTTATCTCCTCACTCACGTTTAGCTTTAGAAGCCTTTCAGGGTAAAGTTTATGTTGTCAGAACCAGCTAACTGGCTGGATCTCCTACCAGGCCTCACCACCCTAAGCCTCAAATGTAAAAAAAAACAACTTTAGTTTCTACATTCTAAACCTCCACAAACACTACTGCCTGTTGTCCCAGATATTAACTAGACTGGGTTACTGTAAATTCTAAACTAACTCAGAGTTTTCAATGTAGGCTTTCAATAAACCCCCATCTGCATTCTGAGCTCTGATAATAAGACTTCTGTTGTGATGGAATAGAATGTGAATTAAAATTTCCTTTCTCATACATGCATTTCCTTATAAATTCATTCCTCTCCTTTAATCCACTCACTCGCACACACAGACAGAAAGGCAAACCCACACTCTACATTCTTGCACACTTCTGCCCAATCTTCTGCACACAGCGCTCGTGGACACGGATTCTGCAGAATCAGTGCTTTGGTCAGGATGTCTGAGAACCAGAAGAAAGGGACTAAACTGGCCTGAGATTTGACATTAAACTGGACCAATTTCCTCTTTGAGACTGTTGGATTCATGGGGGGGCAACTTATTTCATCAAGGTTAGAGAGGAGCTGCACCAGTGTGTGAGTTGAATGGGAACAGGAAGAGGTTAATGTGAGGACGCAAACGTGAAACAGACTCCACATCTGGAACCTCTTTTACACTTAACCTCTCCTTGCTCCTTGCGTTGTAGACATGTTATAAGCTTACTCTAAGCCTAGGTGTGCATCCCTCATGTTGCGTTGTTAACCCACAGCTCTGCTTGTCTGACACAGTCACAGCCTCAGTCACAGACAGAGGAAGTACAGCCGACTTGAGTTTAATCCATCACAGGGAAAATCCACCGTCAGTCCGAATTCCAAGTTCTCCCTCGTTATGTCAAAATAAAAGCAATGAAAAATCCCAAGTTTTACTTTCAAATTGACAGATTTCTTTTTATCCTGAAAGATTTTAATATGGAGATAAGCACGCTGTGCCCGCAGCCCATTCTGCACAGGTCACTGTACAGCCTGCAAGCCGGAGGCACCAACACAAGCCGGCCAGAGGGAGAATCCTGAACTGGAGTTTTGCTGTAGTTCTGCGATTTGTATTTCAAATAGAACTGGAAAAAAAGACATTTTCTATAGCACATTGCCTTGATCACCACTGGAAATCTGTGACCAGTAGGAACAGAAATACCTGCCAGTTCAAGAAATTATTTTCTACAGATGCAGTCTCAGAACAGACCAGACACAGTCGTGCAAAGCCACTTAAGATACGAGCAGATCAGGCTTCGAAACTATGCTGATTCTGATGAGTTTCCTAATGCTAAAGCATCTCAATGGAATGGTTTAAAGAAATTGGTCCTTCTTTTAGTCCCCGCCTTCTGTACCTACATGCAATAGAAACTATCACTGACTTCTCAGGCTCCCCCAGAGACGGTGGAGAGGAAGGTCTTTCTTCTGTAGACCAGGGCGAGATACACACTGCAGCAACACCGCGACCACACAGACACCGAGGTGCTCGGGCATACTTACGATGGGGTCTCTCCTGCTGGGAGGAGAGCTCCTATGCCCTTGCTGGGGGGCGATTGTGTGCTCTGCTGTCTGAGGGTGTGTGGGGAGGTGTGAACCAGGCCCGTCTTGGGGACGGATCCCGTGTGGCTTGGTGTACAGACAGAGGCAGCCCAGCCTCCCGGGGAAAGCAGCACAAAGAATGGAGGAGGGGAAGCAGAGGGCGGGGGGAGGAGGGGAGACCCTGTGGAGTGCAGGCTCACCTGATGCCTTGTTCCTCATGAGCCGGACCTCCCTGGGCTGGATGCCCTGCTCCTGCAGGTGGGAGCGGATCTGCAACAACAGAGGGGAGGCAGAGGGATGAAGGCAGATCCTGACCCCAGACACGGACAGCATTATTAACATCAAACTGTAAAGAATTAAATCCTCGTATTTAAATCCCAGCCCCAGAGGGGAGGAGATGGAAACAAATCGGAGACCAAAAAGAGATCACATACACCTCGCAGTGGACACTACAGTGTCTAATTAAAAAACGAACGAGAAAAGAACAAGAGACAAGAAAAAGAAAAAAGGGAGAATCAGATCCTCTGTGGTACTTAATCAACATCTGCATCCCCAGACACTGCCTGCTGACGGCACTGCTGGGGAGAGACGTCCTACAGCGCGGGGCTGCTTACCTCGTTGACAGTGGCGACAGGAGGCAGCATCCTCAGCATGATGATGTTGCTGGCTTTCTGCTCGCCCGAGTCGGCGCGGTAGTCCTGGTCCCGGAAGTCCGGGTCAGGAGGGAAGCCCGCCGACTCCTCCAGAGCATCACGGGCGTGGTACCCCTCGGATCCCCGGCCCCCCGCCAGGCCGGAGACGGCAGCCTCTGGGAACTCCTGCCAGGTACAGATTTACACACGACAAGCTCACAATGAATTCATTCGCACTTCAGTCGCTAAGCTTACATTTGAAGCCCGTGCCGCACGTCGAGAACAGCTGCAGCAGTCTGCGGAAGAGCTGAACGTCTAGGGTGACCTGGTCACCTGCCCGTGCCGCGTTAACGCTGGACCTAGACCTCACCTGCTGGTCGTCCGGGCCCTGAAACTCGGGGTCCTCGGGGTGCAGATCGCCATACTCCTCCTGCGCAGGGGGTCCGCTGTAGCTCTCCTCCTCCAGCTCCGAGGTGCCGTACTCCGCTGCGGAGCCCCCCGGCCGGCCGTAGGGCCGGAAGCCCCTCCTGCGAGGCTCGTACTCCCTGGGCCGCTCCTGGGGCTCGAAGGGCTCGTACTCGCTGCCGAGCAGCTCGCACTCGTGGGCGCGCTCCTCCCTGCGGAAGCGCTGGAAGTCCTCGGCCCGGCGGAACCCCCTGTCCTCGCGGGGGAAGGGGGGCTCCTCCTGCTCCAGCGGCTCGAAGCCCAGGCCCGCGGGCTCGTCCCGCCCGTAGGCCCGGTAGTCCATGTCCCGGTAGTCGTGGTCCTGGAGGTCGCTGCCGTAGCGGCCCAGGCGGTCCCCCCGCCCGCCCCTGCGGGCACAGGAGAGGCAGCAGGTGAGAGCGCGGCCGCGCGGCGGAGACCGGTCCGAGCCCACGGGAGCCGCTCCGGCGGGTTTCAGTTCAGCTGGTCTCCAAGTCAGAAGAGAAGACTTCTTCGCACAGACACCAGCTCAGCACGCGATATCACAGTGACCTGGCTACAGACGTGACGACAACGAGAGCAAACTCTTTATTTTAACCACCAGCCCAGGCTTCTATGTGCTGTATAATGCAATCAGTCTTCTGCTTAAGGACCTTGGCGAAGACTAATCTAGTAAGAAGCACAGTTAGTTCTCTAACTGCTCACTGGCATTAATAACACGAGCAGACAGCCGGGCCCCTGGCTGTGCAGGCAGAACTTCCTTCCAATCCTGCGCTGCGTCCCTCCAGGTGTGTTTGCAGCTGTTACCCTCATCATCTTACCGCCTCTCGTAGTCCATCCTGCTCCGGCCACCTGGCACACAGACAGCTCGGCACCCCGCACCAGGTTCGCTGGCCTGAGGGGGAGAGAGAGGAGTCATTTGGACCAGCACCACGCCCTGCAGAAGACCCGGACACACGAGTCCGCCTCTGTCACCGGGAGCTAGAGGCTCGGGTCACACGCGTCTCCTGCAGGCTAATCAACCCAGCTCACCCCCGCCGCCAAGTCTTTCAGATCCGAGCTCAAGAGGCGTGACCACGCCGTGCTCGTTTATACGACATGTAACCGACAGGAGGGGACAACCGAGGCCGCGCAGCTCTCCGGGCCGCCTGGGTCCCAGCAGCTAACCGGCAGCCCATGAGAAGCAGAGACGCTACTGAAGAAACAGTCGGTCAATCGGTCGGTGAAGCTACATCCCATCGATCCCCCGAGGTGAAGTGTACGCGTCCAGAGCCCCGGCACACAGGTGCTGACCACAGTATCGGCGCTTTCAATGGCGCTGCAACACACTGACACCGCTGAACAACACTGAACTACCGACATTAGAAGAGAGCGGAATCATTTCTTTCGCTGCGATTCAGAAATACAGCGTTAACCAATTCTGCCGCGCTTGTTGATATGAGGAATACGGCGGTTTCGGTTTAAAAAAAAACATTTTAACGGGATTTGTCAGTTATAAACGAGACCAACGTCTACCTGCGTAAACAGCACCTCCGGGGTCTCCAAACACAGCGTTATTTTAACTCGCTGCTCGAAAAGGAGAGCCGATTAGAATGAAAAATCTCGTCAAAGGAACAGAAATCATACCTTCTGAAAGATTGTTCCGAAACGCCAAGGGTTAAAGTTATGAATAAACAAACATGTTTTTAGAAATGTTGGAAAAACCGTCTCGCTCTACGTCCAAAACAAAATGGCCATCTACCGGGGCGGAGCTTGGTAGGCGGACTGCTGCAGCTGATTGGTCCAAAAACTTTGGGTCCATTCCTATAAAACATATGATTGGGTAAGAGCCTTATCAATCAACATTTTTCTCAGGCGGGGCGTCCACAGCGCCGCTTTCCTATTGGATCTGACATTTCCCTTTAAGAGTTCCGCGGACACCATAGGCCAAGAAAAGGAAAGTCCGCCTCTCGTTATTGATTGGCTCTGCTTCTACGTGACAGCTTTTTCGAGCCCTCTGAGTGGTTAGAGGTGAAGCCGTCTTCTTGTACAGGAAGGCCGATGTCGCAGCGCGCAGGGCTTGATGCGGGTCTGTATGACTGAGGAAAGTTGGCCTGGCAGGCTAAAAAAATAAAGCGCACCCAGTGCTTGTACTGCAGTAACCTGGAAGTGAACAAAGTGCACGCAGAGAATGTAGAGCTAGTTAAACCTGTTGACGAAGACAGCAGTCACTATTCTGCACTGTTCACGGTCCTTCCTGTAAATTTCAGGCTCCTGAACGGATGTGACCTTTTAGAGTTGGGATCTTAATACCATTATTCATCTCATGTTCAATGTAAATCTGTAATGCATTTTCATCCCACAGTGTCTCAAAGCACTTTACAAGTGTAGGACTGGGATTTGTAGTGTTCATTTAAGAAGCAAGTTATTTAATTAAGGTTTGGTATTTAATGCAGCAACAGGGGCGGTTCTTAAGAGGGGGGATATGCGAAGCACAAAGGTTCGTGGTGTGTGTAGGGAGCTGTTTTGTTTGAAGAGTGGAGTTCTACAGGATTACATCTTGTAAGAGTGATAATAGTAGACTGTGAATTAAAGGAGAACTTTGTTATAGATCCCCGAATGGCACTTCGTTGTTTTTATGTTTGATGTGGTTTCCAAACTGAAAATAACTAAAACCTGTTCCTGGAACCCAAACCCCCAGAAGATTTAATTTTTACACATATTTAGTGGACTCACTTAACTCGCCACTCAAGTGAATCCCCACCTTGGCGACACCCAGCAGCTGTTCTGCACCAGCAGTGAGGGAATTAGAAATCACTGCAATGATTGAATGTCTTCAACATGTGGTGTCTTTCAATATTCTAGCAGTACTATTGCTAACATCCTCAAATGGGATACATATGTTTTGAGCATCACAATGGAAGTGCACCAGAGATTGTATTTCCTGTGTCAACTGAAAAATGTCTCAATGTTTCCTGGGCCATTCTCATTCAGGGTTATGGAGTTATTACTGAGGGAATTCTATACCAGTTTGGTTTGGCAACGTGTCTGACCATTCTAGAGCCAAATTGCAACACTTTGTTCTCTGTGCAGAGTCATTGGCTGACATTTTCCTTCTATTAAAGACAAAATACACAAATTTGTTAATAAAGCAAACCTTTTGGATAATTAGAAAAAAAACAATGATTACAGTTCTCTTGATTTTAATTGGACATACTGTTTGCTTAAATTTTTTTAAAGCAAAAACACCTTTGGATGATTTGCGCAGATGCGTGATTGCCTGTGAAGGAACAGCCGCCCTGTACAAGCGTGTATCTGAGCTCTGTACACGCAATGTGCATCCCTGAACAAGCGTGTATCTCGGCTCTGTATACGTAGTGTGCATCCCTGAACAAGCGTGTATCTCGGCTCTGTACACGCAGTGTGCATCCCTGAACAAGCGTGTATCTGAGCTTTATGCACGTGACGTGCGTCACTGAACAAGTGTGTATCTCAGCTCTGTGTGTGCAAGCATGAGCAACTGTGTTTGAGCTGCTGGAGGACATGACCATAACTGTGATCAGTCTTCTGCCCCTGTCCAAGTGCGCATCAAAGAGGACACTGCACAAACTCAGTACCCTAAAAACAATTTTTATTTAAAGTAGTTTTAAAAGCAGACTGAGGAAATTCCAAGATGCATTTGTACAAAAGGTAAAGTTATATGCGGCAGATTCTTTTTCTCTCGTGACTTTATTTTAAAAAGAAGTACTTTTAATATAATATTTAGTTTTTCCTTTTTTACATTTTTAAGGTAAGATTCTAGAATTGCAAGAGGGTATTACTGATACAGTACAAGCCAGTAGAATTCCACACAGGGTTAAATATACAGTACAAGAGCAGAAAAAAAGGAAGGAGGCGCAGGGTTTGTACGTGTGAGAGCTAGAGGAAGCTGAACACTTGCCCCCTTCACGTCCCCTGGGCCAGCACAGACAGGAAAATGTGACCAGGACCGGTTTAAAAAACCTTGACTTACTTCAGACTTTATAAATTAGGTAGGTTTTCATATTCCCAAAGAAACGCAGTGAGAAGTTTCAGCACCGCATTTTTCAGTTAACCTTCCATCCCTGTGGACTCCATCACTTGGACACAGGACATTTATTTTCGAATGGAGGACGCTGAGCAAATGTGCAGGTCAACCCCCCTCTTTGGAAATCCTTAAAGACTCCTTAACAAAGGCCGACTGCAATCCTGATGGGTTTGAACTGCACATTTGCCAAGTTCTGTGTTGGCTTTCACCAGTACTCAGAAACTCGTCATCAGTCAGCACAAAGGCCTTAAAGGAAAGTAGGCTAAGCAAAACAAAACCAGGTGTGAATACATCTTATCCAGTCCCAAAAGGAAAAAGCCAAAATCTAGAATATTACATATATATGTAATATTGTATGCATATATATATAGATAGATAGATATGGGCAGTTGAAAAACCCTCTCACCTCCTTTCATGCTGAAAAGCTCATGCATTGTGCACTGTGGACCTGTACGCAGTTTTTCACCCACTGCTGCAGGGATATCTAGTCACCCATTAGGTAGAAGTCTTACAATATGTGTAAAACAGGTCATTCAAGTCACAACACTTAACTCAAATGTGTGACACAGTCTTCCAGCTCTCCAGACTGTCCAGACTGGAATCTCCATCAGGATTACCCTCTGTAGTCTGACAATGCAGCCCCCTTTACTGTTTATCAAGTGGGATCCTATTTCCTTCGCTGTTCACATGGCTGATTTTATCAAGATTCCCATATCATTTGCTATTCTCAAACAATTAACCCTCTCCCCCAGCCCTTTCACACAGAGCTATCACTGTCAATATTCTGGGAGGAAATGAGGGTGACCCCAGGGCTACAGACTGAGTCCAGTGTCATTTATCTTTTTGTGGCAGGGTTTAAATCGTGAATTAAAATCGCCAGCTTATTTCCTTTTTCAACCCTCTTTTCAAATCCCAGATGCAATCCTGGGACCCTTTCAAAGGATTAGCGAGAACACAAACCCACCGGGGTTACAGGGACAGTGGCTCAGACTGACTTGAACGACTCCGAGGGGCGATTCAATGGAACAGATGGTGAGGAAGGATCCTCCGGACACCGCTGACACACCAGCTCGGCGCGCTCCAGCGAGGGGCCGCTGTGTACGGCGAGACCCAGGGGTGGGGCCTGCTCACAAGCTACAGACTACAGGGAGCCTGACAGAGTGGCAGGTCACAACTTGCTGCAGTGGTCTACAGGTGGTGAAGGAGGACAGAGGTGGCAGGAATGTTTGCGAAGAGTCCTTTTAAAATACGCTGCTATGCTTCTTCACACCAGGCTGCCAGACAGGCACCTCATGCCAGGATGTTGCACTGGTTGCAGGCCCTGCCCAGCTTGGAGGGGAAGCAGTGGGTAAGAGGAGAGGGGGGTTACCCCCAGTTTTAAACAACACAAACTCAGTCTTATTAACAACCCATCTGTTAATGTTCAAAATCCTTTATAGTCGTCATTTTTACATGTGGCTAAAGCTCTTAAAACAGTATCTCTGCTTCTATGAGAAAGATTTGTGGAATTGAACCCGACAGGAGCAGGCAGATGCCATGAGGAAGGAGCTTCAGTGCTACAGACACAGTGGGGCAGAAACAAGGAGCACATGCAGATCCACCAGTCTACACTGCGGGCCCCTGGCAGTAATGACCGAAACAATACTAGTCCCACACTGCAGATGAAAAAAAGACTGAGGACTTATGGCGAAATGTTAATTTAAACACTTATCCACAACTCAAGATACAGCATCCTCTGCCACTAACACTGCCAAGGGACGTCACCTGTCAGTTTCGCACAACATTCGTCACCCAGTCCGCCGCTAGAGACAGCATTCAAACAATGCCCTCTTCCCCATACCTATCCAGAGTAACAGCTGCGTTAGCAACAGGAACACTGTATCTTGGAGCGCAGCTGACATGTCGCCAGCTTTGAGGAAAAGCCCAGTAAGCAACTTCCATGAATGCCACAAAAATATTTTGGCTACAAACGATGACATGAGGAACAAAACTTAAAACATTATATAGACATTTGTTTCCAGGGGACCTTTTCTCTGTCGATGACACAACACTGCAGATGTAATTGTTTTGAAGCCAAGTGTTTAAAACTAAGGGCGAGCCTTTGAAGAAAACCAAGCCACTGCTTCTGTGTCCAGCCTGCCTGTGAGGGAGCCCCTCTCATCAGCCAAGGCAACTGTCCATCTGGGAGAGGAAGGCTGTTCCTGGAGAGACGATCCTCTGGTTTGGCGCTAGAGCAGGATCGGATGCGGAGGCATGAGCTCATACCTGGAGTGGGGCAGGACAGCGATGGAGGAGGAAGCTGGGGGGCAGAAGGGGGTTCTTGCTGGTACATTTTCCTTGGCCTGGTTTTCTTTCTCCCTCTTCACTTTTTCCTCTCCTCTATAATAAAAGGCAGGCGTTCTTCTTCCCGCGCTTCTTGGCCTGCAGCGCCGCCCTGGTGGCCATCTCGAACACCTCCCGCACCCCGTCCTTTGTCTTGGCTGAGCACTCCAGATAGCCGAACGCGTTGATGCGGTTCGCCATGTCTCTGCCCTCCTCTGGCTTCACTGGCTCCTGGAGGTGGTAAAGGGAAGAGACTGATCAGCACCCCTGTCTGAGCGACTTCTCCCGCTCACCGTCAAGTTCAACGTTCGGTTTTCACCAGTCATTTCCTTTCTTAGAACCGACATTCAGACAAACACTAGTAATTCTGAATTCTGAACACTGACAGCAAATACAAAACACACTGGTAACATAACATGAAACTGCACCAACTCTGAGGAACTTCAGTCAGCGGTACCACCTGCAGATTTTAATTTTGTTTGCTGTTATTTCACCTTTGGACTTGGACTTAGTACGCTATTATGAACAGGTTTCCTGTGCTGCTATTTCTCCCTGCATGTCATTGCTACAGTGTAGTCTGAAGAGTAAGGCGAGTGTGGGAAAGCCAGTCTGATTGTGACAGATATAAGTTGTAGAGGAACAGGTAAAGGTTTATTCCACGCTGAAAGGACAAGAAAAGAGACACAGCGTTTCGGCTGTGGAGCATTCTTCAGCTTAGCTGCAGCAGGGAAGCATGGCTTCTCCTCCTATGTCAGAAAGCAGGTGCTCTGCCCCTCACAGGCCCTGCGCACTGACAGCTATGGCGCACAGCGTACCTGCTTCATCTTGGCCAGCTCGCGGCGCGTGTGCTCGTCGTTGCGCAAGTCCTTCTTGTTGCCCACGAGGATGATGGGCACGTTGGGGCAGAAGTGCTTCACCTCGGGAGTCCACTTCTCAGGTATATTTTCTGTCAGACAGCATAGTCACAGTTAGACAGGAGCCTACAATGCTAAACTATGGCAGACACAATGTGAAGAAGTTTAAAAAAGAACACAGGCCGTAATTCCAAAACACCTTAAGGAATCGCCATCTAGGGCTTTCACATTCTTCAAACACCTAAATAGCATTTCACTTAATCTGCAATGTGCTCAGTTCTGTTCAGTTAAGTACCTGACTTTTTGTTAATTTAATGGTTTTGTATTTAAATGCAACGTACTTCAATCCATTTTTCAACAGTAAACTACTCATCCTGGAGAGAGCTGCAGGAGACCGCACACTGTCTGTTCTGCTAAATAAATTATATTATTGTGAAATCCCAGCCTTGCTGCCTCACAGCTTGGATCGGGGTTGTGGACTGGAGCTTCTGTGTGGAGTTCCCATGTTCCCCAGGCCTGTAAGGGATTTCTCCAGGTGCCCCAGTTTGTTTCCACCTCCCTAAGGCATGCTGGGTAGGGTGGCTGGTGTCTCTAGATTGACACTGCACGCCAGCGTGCCCTGCGAGGGTCTAGTGTCCAGCCAGGGCACGGCCCTGCAACGATCACCTCCAGCCTGCAGACCATCTAGTCAGAAAGGCTCTGCGAGTGGCAGTCAGCTGATGGGTGGAAACCACTCAAACTGATGAGCAAGAGTGAATATTAACACTGGCTCTGTATCTCAGATGTCAGAGACAGAGCTAACAGCCCCGCTCTCTGTACGCTCCGTCAGGTCAGCAGTGGGAGAGCGACGTCTTGCTGCTCTGAGGCAGACGGAGGGCCTCACTTACCCAGGCTGTCAGGGCTGTCGATGGAAAAGCACATGAGGATGACATCAGTGTCAGGGTAGGACAGGGGCCTGAGACGATCATAATCTTCTTGCCCAGCTGTGTCCCACAGTGCCAGCTCCACCTGTGAGAACAGCAACACCATTCAACTGAAAACCCCCTCTTTCTACACACACCGCTTGGTTGTAGTGGAGAAAAATTCTTTATCTCACTTTTAGAAACATGGAACTTATGGAACATAATCTTAAATTACATTTCTGCATCTCAAGAACATCATAATGTTTTGTGTTTCTAGGGGTCTGTTGTGGATGGCTGGTTCAGAGCTCCCGCTGGTGGCCAAGGAGGTCCAGTTCAGAGCTCCCGCCGGCGGCCAGGAGGCCAGGAGGCCCAGTTCAGAGCTCCCCCTGGCAGACAGGAGGCCAGGAGGCCCGGTTCAGAGCTCCCCCTGGCAGACAGGAGGCCAGGAGGCCCGGTTCAGAGCTCCCCCTGGCAGACAGGAGGCCAGGAGACCCGGTTCAGAGCTCCCGCCGGCGGCTAGGAGGCCCGGTTCAGAGCTCCCGCCGGCAGGCAGGAGGCCCGGTTCAGAGCTCCGGCTGGCGGTCAGGAGGCCGGTTCAGAGCTCCGGCTGGCGGCCTGGCGGCCCAGTTCAGAGCTCCCGCCCGCAAGCGGGAGGCCCGGTTCACAGCTCCGGCTGGCAGGCAGGAGGCCCGGTTCACAGCTCCGGCTGGCAGGCAGGAGGCCCGGTTCAGAGCTCCCGCCGGCAGACAAGAGGTCTGGGCCTGGTGGTACCCGTTACTCACCTGCTTGCCATCCACCTCGATATCGGCTACGTAGTTCTCAAAGACAGTAGGCACGTAGACCTCAGGGAACTGGTCCTTACTGAAGACAATGAGAAGACAGGTCTTGCCACAGGCTCCATCCCCCACGATCACCAACTTCTTACGTATTGCAGCCATCTTCAAAAAAGAAGCAGGGGTTCAGGACACTGGCAAGGGCACTGCTAACCTCAGAGGAAAACAGTCACACAGAACCCCAGAAACATCAAAAAGGCTGGTTTAAACATCTGCAGCACACTGAAGTGCAGTTCTGTTCGATAACACGAAACCCCTGATGCTAATGCTACTGCACCAGCATCTAGCTCCAACCAAACAAACTCAGACCACCTTCACTAGCAAACGCACTCCCTCTTGCTTGTTAATGATCAGCAACCAATGTCAAACCATGAAAGTGACACCACAAACACTTTCCTCATCTTTCAGTTTTCCACTCAAGCAGTTGAGTTTTAGACTCTGATAAAATCTGTATGAACATACAAAAACACACCCAGCAAGCTCAATACACTCACAGCCAGATAAACATTCACACTGTAATGCCACGCACACAGCACTACATCAAAAATAAATCGTGGGCTAACTTATTAATGGACAGAAGCTGGGGCTGCCCAGTGCCACACCACTCACACTGCATTATTTTTAAAGCACAATATGATTTGAGCTAACATTAGCAACAAGAAATGATGAATAATAACAATTTAGTTTTAAGGAGCAAAATGTAGAACATTTCCAGAATCACTGGTAAGTGATGTTGAACAGTTGTTGATCAAGGCATCTAAATACCATCTGACTTCAGATGAACCTCCGCAGCAAATGTGAAGAATTCTGTTCGCATTATACAGATGTTAACAGGAGAGACATTTGCAGGCAGCATTTCCTAGATGATTAAAAACATTTTTGATGTCTTACATTTTTTGAGTAATTGTGAAACTAAAATGAATTAGTTCAGTAACTGTAAATTTTTTTCACTGTAATATCTAATAAAAACATGCTTGCCTTACCAATAAATGTTCAGTAAAGCCCTGGGATATTTCAGTGTTTAGTTTTCCTACAAATGATTCAGTGATAACACACTTGCACCATGACATTTGTCTGGTATTACTGCTCGGGTGCAGTTATTGTGCCCCAGCTGTCACTGAGCGTCTCCTCTGCAGTGACAGGTTGCCACTGAAGGCCAGCGCCCTTCTGGCTCGTTCAGTGTTTTCTGTGGTTATGTGACGCAAACAGAATAAAGCACAATGCAATGCAAACAGCCTCCTGGCTGGAGAACGTTTCTCAAGCAAACGTACTCGCAGGCATACTGCAAGAGAACCGAGTGTGTTTGTACAATGCAAAAAGGAAGCCAATGGAACTTTCACTTTGAGAAACAACTTACAACTTAACAAATTACAAAGAGAGTCTTTAATATCCCCAAGGGGCAATTTGTCTTACAGCAGCAGACAACATAAAGATAAAAATACACATATCCACGATCAAGAGAATCATTTGTTAAGCATGTTTATTGCCAGAGGTATAAATGCAAAATTATACCTCTCAGGTTTTAAATGGGGAAATCGGTGTTCTGATGGGGGTAATTGGAATTCATTAACAAAATGTGTGAAGGGTCCTCTAGGACGGGAGATGTTTTACACACAACTGCTAACTGGTAGACCTGGGACAGGGTCTAGATCAGCACCATTGACTTTCTGACACAGTTTGACAAGACTCCCCAGCTTGTTCTTACTCCCCAGATTCAAATTCAAAAACCAGCAGATGAGGGTAAACGTTGAAGCAGAGTCAACAAAAGACTGATGAAACATGATCAACAATGAATTATCAACCTTAAAATATTTTTGCTTAAGAAACAGACCCTCTTGCCATTTTTGGAAAACAGAATTAATATTTGCCCCAAACTTAACCTGCAATCTAGAACAGTCTCCAAAAACCCATATTTATCTATCATCTCCTCTGCTTCCTCCCTGATGTAGGTTTGAGTGAGGGTCTTTCCTTTAGAGCAACTGAGACATTCAATTATAAACAGTTTTGTTCATAGAAAAGTGCTTTGTAACTTCCTGTCACTGGATCCACTGTTCAAGGTTACATCACTAGCTAAACTTGTACCAGCTGGGCTTCTCAATACAGCTCGATATAATGTAGCCAAACAACCCCAATTATTTAATTCCATTATTTAATTTAATTTGACAAGATTTTCATTTTAAGATCAAGGTAAGAAATATGGATTATGTAACAATGTAGTCAATGGTTTGACTGAAAACTTTACTCTGCATTTTTTATGGCAAACTGGACAAGCACAGCAACTGAAATGTATATGTAGAGACTCACACAGCTTCCAGATTTACCGACGTACAGCAGAGGTCAGACACAGTAGCTGTTGTCTTACTTGGAGCAGAAACTCCAAGAAGTAGCTTCTACTTCAAGGGACAAGGAATATAATTCACAAAGAGAGGCTTTCTTCAAAAATGCTGACTCAGGCATATGAAATGTGGTCGTACAGACATTTTTAGAGTGTAAGAAAAATTGCAAACAGAACAAGAACAGTTATCACATCCTGCACATTTGGGTGTTTAATAGCTGAGTGAAACTAACATTTCATCAAGCTGATTCTAAAGAGTATTCAGAGTTTGGGCCCGAAACATCTGACTGAAAAGACGATCCTAGTTCCCCAGTTCTCTCTGTGTAAAGAAACAGTTCACGCCCTTGGTCCTAAAAGAATTCCTCTGTAGTTTACAAGTGGGACTGCTGAGCTGACCATATCTACACCCCTCCAGATCGTACGCCCTGGAGATGATGTGCTGTTTCCTGTTAACCACATTCTGATCCATGTGCTTACTTTACCTTTGACGCCTACAACTTTTAGATTGAAACTCAAAGACAGGATATTTGATGTTTTATGGTTATTATCTGTCTATTTATTCAAAGAACTTCAGGCCTTCACCTTCTAAATCCACAACGGCCGCCTCTTCAAGTGCCACTTCTTACTGAGCACTCTTCTAATTTGACTGTTGTTCCTAGGACTCTCCTGTTAACAGAAGTATGAATGCTTGGCCTATAATTTCCTGGATTCCACATTGTCCTTTTTTTGATTAATTATTGAAAAACACTCCTCTTTTCCTTAAAACCGACCTGGAAAAAGTCATTTGGCTTCAGTGATTTGCTGTGAGCCACTTAGCCCCTGGGGTGCCTCTGTGTCAAATGAGCACAGCGATGTAACTACCTGCAGCAATGACCAAATACTGATGGAGCTCCATCAGCAACAAAAAGGGCTTTACAGACCTGTTCGTGTAGGAATACCTGGCGTGTTCCTGACCTGTTCCTGTAGAAATACCTGGCGTTTTCCTGACCTGTTCCTGTAGAAATACCTGGCGTGTTCCTGACCTTTATTAAAGAATAAAGGAAAATTTTCTATGTTGTGGTCTCAGCTCCCAATGGTTCCATCAGGTTTATTCCCTTAATAGTGCTTTGGCTGTCTCTAAAGAGTAGATCAATAAGAGCATCTTCCCAAGTATGCTGGCCTTTACAAACCGGGCTGAGGAGAAAATAATGAAACAATTCTCCCAGTACACGGTCACCTTTTCTACATTTCCTGATTACAAGCAGCTTCTCCTGGTAATATCAGTGTTTAACCGCCAACACAATGAATTGCTGTGGATGTTACAATAAATATGGTGATTAGGATTTTCAAAACAATCTTAACATTCTTAGATGTTAGTAAGGGATCCTGAGAAAAGGACAAAAGTTACAAAGGCACACTTTACTGAGAAATTAACACAAATACTTCTATGAGAATTGGAATGACAGGTTCACCATTATTTAGTTGTAATAATCATCTGCTGTATCTCAGTTAAAAAGAACAGAATAAGACATGCTCCATAATACACTAGGAGGGCTTGAAGATGAAAAACATTTCTACTGATGTCAGCCGATACAGTTACCAGAATTTACAACACAAACAGCAGGAAAACAGGCCTTTACTCTGCAAGACGTCCAATTCATTCATCGCTGCAACATGGGCTGGCCCAGCCTCTCCTCTTCGCTTGACCTCACATTCATGAGCTGTGCACTTGTTCCTCTTACTCTCGCCATCGCACGCCAGCCCCACTGTTGACTGGACTTGCTCGTGCGTTGCACAGCAGGGGCTGACTGCAGTCGCCCCCGTGCCTGACACAGCACCACACTCTCACACCGGGAAACACACGGCACAGTCCCACCCCTCACGCTGCTCCGGACGCAGTTCCGCTGTCAGAACGTTACACCTTTAATGCCAACAGACAGCAATCGCACAAAAACAGCTCCTTCTGCACTGGCAGAAACCCATCAGCTCTCTGCATGAGAAGGGGGTAACTCACAACACTGCGGACCTGTCCTGACCCACGAGTAGAAAACAGCGCTCTATGGTCCATGCCTGTTGTTTAGCCCCTAGCGTTTCTAATTCCCCGTTTAGCCCACCCTCCCTGTTCCCTCTCGTATCTGTTCTGTAGCCTGAGATTTTTCATACTGAAGGGGTAGAGGGCGAGACTATAACCCACCTTTCTAAACAAAGGTATCCTTTAATTTTATATTTGCCGTGATCATCTTCCTTTGCCAGCAGCCATATCACCCTGCAACTCACAACTGGCAACCCACTGAAGCTAAGCAGGTGTGAGCCTGGTCAGTACCTGGATGAGAGACCTCCTGGGAAAGGTTGCTGTTGGAAGAGCTGTTAGTGGGGCCAGCAGGGGGCGCTCACCCTGC